AATAAGCAAATCACTGCAATATCATCATAGTATGTATCATATTACCCTTTATTAAAACAAACCAGTGGTTTAGCAGATTTAAAATGTTCTTACCCAGGAAGTTCAAGCTGTTTCGAAGCAGCTGATAGGCTGTCATGGTGTTACTGATTCTGTGAGTTGTCAGCAGATAAGCCAACAGCATGGAGGCCAGGAAGCCACTAAAACAACCAGTGCCCTAAAAGATATTGAGGTCAGGTGTGTCAGAAGACAAAATTATTATTATTATTAAATTAATACAGTGTAAAAACAAGAAACTAAGCTCTGTGCAACAATTAAAAGAGACACTGCAAGCCTCTAACCTGGTCCAGCTCTCTTTGGCGAAGCCAGACTTTGAGCAAAGCCACCCCATCAGCGAACGCTGAGCACTGGGAGCTGACAGCAGAAAGGAACTGGAGGTGAGCCCTGGGCAGCAAATCCCCCAGAACAGAACTATTGTAATGTGGAGTGGGAGGTTCACTGCTGTCTGTAACAAACAAGAAAAAAATTGGTCTTGATAAGTGATATTTCAGTTGAACTGTAGTTAAAAAACGTGGTCTTGAATGTATATACGATCATTGTCTTAGAAAAAGCGATTGAATTGCGATTTTCTGTGACCAAATTTTTATTGTTTTTCACCATTGGCATTCATTAAGGAAGATACACTACATATGGAAATCAAATGACTGAAATATTGTGTTGACATTTAACACATACACACATCCTCTACACTCTTCAGACCAAAGTAATCCCATACTCCATAAATGTAACATGGGCAACTTACTACTTTCACACAGCTCGACACTCGAAGTTAAGAATAATACAAAATACAAGTAGCTATGAACTCACCATGCAGAAGAAAAAGATACAGGCAAACGCACAAATCAGTCAAAAACTCTAACAGCAATTTATTCTAAATAATTTTCCAACATCCATTTGAACCTCCTTTGATCCTAATTATAAGTGATGGATAAAATTTGAAGAACTAGCCGTATAAATGGACAACCTTACCAGACAGGGAGGACTGCAATCCGGTGTACCACTCTGTCCTGATATTATTCCTTTGGGGGTGGAAGCGGTTGGGCTTGAAGAATCCAGGAGGGGGACACACATGAACACATACGGTGAAGCTGGAAGAGTCTTTACCTGAAAGATGGGACAACACAACAGATCTCAACCCAAAAAACATACTGTTTAACAGACACATGCAAAGAAAATGAACTGCTGGCAAAATTCATACAATGAAAACTAAATACAGTGCTCTTGGAAGTAATCAGTACTTCACAGAATAGTATTGAATAGAATAGTGCAGTACAGAATACACTGTAAATTAAAAGTTAAATACCTGGAGGGGTCAGCAGCAGAACAGGTCGGAGTCGATTCCCATGCAGACAGGAATAACGCATGGTCCCAATGTCAGAGGAAGACGTGAGATACTGGGCCAGGCCTGCCAGGTAGAGAGCCCTTTTCCTCGGATACCTCTGGTTCACGACGTCCTTCGGGTGGAGGACATCCTAATAACAGAAAGATGAGCAGACAGAGACAATAGCACATTGCTCTCAAGACTTCAAGTGATGCAATGAAATAAAATAATAAAGAGGCAGGTGACTTACAGCTGGGATTGTCACAGCCAGATCCACCATGATGCGTGGTTTAGTGCAGGTGCCCAGGGGGTAGCTGCCGATCAGATCGATAGAAGCAGGGGGTGCCATGTGGAACTTGCCTTTTGTTGCTTTGGGCACCAGGAGGAACGGGACCTTAACTGCACCAGACAGCCACGACAGGTCACTGACCTGAACACCAAGAGAGATTGAGCAAAAGATTTGGTTGCAGCTTTCTGTGTGTACATTTGCAAGGAGACAAATGAATGGAAAGCGTGAAGCCGACGCACCTCAACCTCCGGGGACTGCGGCACAGCCCGGAGCAGCTCGGTGACCGTCTGAACGAAGGAATCTATTCGCTGCTTCCTACGCTCACTCAGGGCGACCTCTTTCAGCAGCTCCTCCATCTGTTAATCGGTGAACAAGATCATGGACATTTACAAGAAGAAGTGTGTGAATGCTTGTGCGGGTATCGGTCACATGGGATGATGAGGCCAGGAAGTCAGAGGCCCTCACCTGCATCTTGAGCAGGCTGCAGTGAAACAAGCTTTCCGCCTCCTTCAGCTGGTTTAGCTCCTCTGCTGAAGGAGGTCTGTACAGATCACTTCTGGACAGCTTCACCGGGTGAAAGACCACATCATCCTCCTCCTCCTCGGGTTTGCTCCTTTTGGTTTTAATGGGAGCCTCATCCTCCTTTTGAGATGAGTCTGAGGGAATCACCTGTGAAATGACAACACAACATGAAGTAGTAGTAGCAACAGTAATAAATAGGAATAGTACAGTGCAGTACAATATAAAAACAATAGGCTAACTAACTGATGTTGATGTTATTTGACCAGACCTGTTATTATTAAGTGTGTATACATTAGAGACAGCACATTAGGCAAACTCTCATCTGTTGTAACGTAATTACAAATCTATACGTAAAGCGTGCAAGGAACATTCACGTACGTGTGCAGCGAAGATAAACCCAGATGTCGCCAGTCTTACCTCTTCTGGGTCCTCTGCGACTGTCTGCTTCTTTTTCATGTCTGCTTTTCTTCCAATGTTAGAGTAATTCCGATGTTTTTGTTAAAGTTTCGATCAACGCTGCGTCGCCTTCATTGCGCTCTCACATGTGCAACGGGTCAGTTAAACGTGCTGCCTAGCAAAACATCTCCCCGATTGGTGCAGAAGAGGCGGAGGTGGACGGTGATTGGCTGGCCGCTCGTCTGACGTCGCGTCGGCTTCAGCAAGATAGGTTGCATGAGCACATGGTGTGTGTGTGGAGCCGCAGGTTTGTCTCCTTATTCAAGAGTAAAAACTAAACTAAACTAAACTAAAAGGCCATGCAGTAAAAACACTTGTGTCAAAATGGAGAAACAATTTTAATATTATCATTATGTGTATTAATTGGCATTTATCATTAAAATCACTACACGTGTGTGGCAGATGTTTGCAGTACCTAAACATTATTATTGGTGTCTACATATAGGATGGACAAAATAATAGAAACACCTCTATACCTCTATTTAGTCAGTGTAACCCAATCAACACCTCTCTAAAACAGTTTAAACAAAAGCTGAACATTATAACCGTCGTGAAAGGAGGATTTAGTGTGTTTTAGCTGGGTGCCCCTAATAAACCAAAGCCAACTCCATGTAGGCACAGAAGAATCATTTGCATAACATACATACAAACATGACTTCATTCATTTAGTTGTTGAGTTTCAGGTAACAGTTTGAGAGTGATTTAATCTCACAGTAAGTGTTGATCTGTGCATATGAACGATATGAACATTTACTATCTTTCTTTGGTATGTTATGTGGCGAGCATTGACAGAACACATAGCTTTCTTTTTATTTATACTGTCATTATATGTTTAAAAAAGGACAACACATATATTGTATTATCACTTTATCATTATACATGTACAGTGTGTCGCACTACTCTATTGCAAATGCAGAATATCTAACAGATACATGGAGGAAAAACAATTATTCAGAATCTTTTCAAAACATGTCCAATTGTCTTTCAGAGCTTAGCCTGGAGCGGACACACTTCATCTTGTATTGAAAGGATCTTTTTTATTTTCGTTCACATACAGCACATAATGCTCCAATACCACTACAGACAAATTCATTTCCACACATCTTTATAATCAATTGTCCCAGTTCTTGGACTGAAACAATGGGGTGACTTGAGGCGGTGGACCTGTGGTAACCTGTTGAACTGAAAACAGTGGCACAGCTGCGTCACTTTGTATCAGCCTCAGCTTGGTAGACGGAGCAGGAAGGTTAAATTTGAAAGAGTTGCTGTCGACTGCCTGGGGATCCAGGAGTGAAACACCCTCGGCCAGCTCCATTGTCTCTAGCCTCAGAGGCCCAGAGGACTCCATCCCTTCTCTTCTATGTCTGTAAGGTGATAATTTCTTCAGCCAGACATCGGCATCTTTTCTCCTCTGAAACCTTTCTGGCTGATCCTGGGAGCTGGTTAGTGGCTTCAGGGAGGTTACTGTCCACTCAGTTTGCTTCTTGTTGTACCGTGGTTCTAGTTTGGACTGTCCGCTTGGTTTCTTGGAGTTGGGTTTTGTGCAGTTGTTATCCAAAATCTCATATTGAGGAAAGACGAAGTGTCGAGGCAGGGAAGAGGGATCAAGCCTGGGTATGGGTCGGTGGTCCTTGTGCTGATGTAATGATCCAGTCGTACGATTAGAAAAGGAATGTGTCTTATCTTTACCCAGGGGCGGAAGTGATTTGCGTGGAACAAGCTTGGGAGGTGAAATAATCTGCTGCTTTTTCTCTAGATCAATTTTTAGTGAGGGACGAGGACTGAGTAGTTTATAGCGCTTGTCCCTGACAGGTCGCCTGGGACTTGTTTGCTTTTCAGATTGCTTTGGAGAGCTGTTCGCTTGGGCCATAACGTTACATTGCTGGTCGACGCTCGGCTCCGTTTGTACTGGGACCACCTGGCCAATGTCAACCTCCTGTTGGAAACAAATACAGAGACACAGATATAATGTAGATACGGATACACATAACTTCTCGGGTGAAATTTGAAGAGAAGTTTTGCAGAAGAGACATTTTAAGACTACCTGTTGTGAGGCGAGGCGAGGCCGAGGGCTGGCATTTTCGACAGGCACGCATCCTTGAGCCCAGGCATCTGAAATTGCTGGCATAGGCTCTGAGTCTTCTGTTTTAGATGCTTCCTCGGGTCCTTCTCCTTCATCTAGGGACACAATTCGCCGCTCTAGAATCTGCGTGAGGTGGCGCTCGGCCCAGGACGCGGAGAAAGGCGCAAGCTTAAGAGCAAAGACGGATGTTGGAAGCAAGATCGTTTTAATTTGATTGGTGTCAGTCAGTAAGATGACGTTCACATTGTGAGTGAAATCTAAATAAAAAGCAGTTTTACCTGTCTTTCAATGTACACCTTTAAACAGCCTTCCATGACCTTGCTGAGCAGCTCCTCCATGATCTCCCCCACTGTCTCATCTGCATCCTCCTGGATCAACATGTCCATCCATTGGGGCTGAGTTAAGCGACCAGGGATAATGTCTTCCACTTCCACTTCCTGCGTTGGAGGTGGGGTCACCTGGACAGTGGATCTACATCTACGCTTGTCAGCTTGGGACTTGGCTGCAGAGCGGGGCATCTTGGCTCGGAGGCTGGCTGGTGTTGAACATGAAACACACATGATAGTAAAAAGCATAATTCATTCATTGTTTAATATGTTTATGGGCAAAAAAAAGAAACAATTTAACAGGGAACAAATGTCAATCCCTGTTAGTTGGTGTGAAAATGCCATATAGGAAACATAAGCACACTCTGGTGGATGTGATCAAACCCTACACTTTTACTTGGACGTAAAACTATAATGCCCCGACTCATTACAGGACCAATATTATAGTCTATAAGTCGTGAGAGGCACAAACTGGGGATATGATGAGCCAGTGTGTTTTGTCGGTGAAATGTATTAACATTATATGATAATCTATGAGATTATGTAGCGCACAGAAACAAAAACACCGCGGGGTTTTGAAACCAATGGCCAGTAACAGTGTATCATTTAATGTCAGGTGATTACACACGGTTAAAACAGCAACACCTTTACACCATTCGACCTCAACAACAACACGCATACTTTAAGTTTTACGAATAATAGCTGTCATAAAAGCCCTGTGTAAAAACCTCACCTCACTCTCGTCTTTGTATCTTCTGCTCCTACGGGTCCTTACGGTCTACGGTTGCTCGGCAACCGAGCACGCAGGGGTGACGCAGTACGTAGAGGTGGCGTTGTCTCTATGGCTGCGGAGGACGCGGAGGTAATCCTGTCGCTAACTGGAGCTAGCGAGTGCTTCGTTCCCGTTCACTTTATCATGAAATGATTTACGACAGCGCCAGTAATTGTTATGCGATCTGAAGCGAGAGTGTGTCCCACACGCTTCCCTCTCTTATTTACGCTTCATTGTTGCAGCTGGCTCATTGCTAAACATACCTAGCTCGCTGCTAATTAAGTTAAGTGAAGTCTTAAGCGTTTCCATCCGCTGCCAAATAACGGTATGTGTGTTTTCTTTCTTTTTTTTTATTTTTATGAAACCGCTCATTTAACTTAACCGACTCTGACTGTGGCGAGCTGTATTTCCTTCTCTAAGGCTGACACCAGATTACCCACTGCCATTTCAGAGAAGTTTGCTCGATGTATCACAAAGAGAAGAGCATCCAGATCAAAAACAGCGCCTCGGCGTTGTACAACAACCTCAGCGTGCATCGCATCGCCCCGCGGCGCCTCACCTACTTCACGGTGGTCCATGCTAATGTGGTCAACATGGTCAGCGCCTCCTGGGACGGCCTCAACTATTCCCACCGTCAGCTGCAATCCAAGGAGCCCAATGTCGCCACAAGCACATCGCTCATCATGCAGGTCCGGCAACTTGTGCTGTGTTGTGTTTCTGTGAAGGTGGCTGGGACAAGATGTCAGTAAGACATTGAGTGTTAGGTTATTTATACATTCCCTCAGTTTTAGGAGACAGAAAATAATTGGACAAGTTATATTTAGATTAATCTTGTCGTCCAGCATCAGGAATGCATTTCTAATAAGGGGAGTTATTGACTGTGTGATCCTCAGACATCTTCCTGGTTATATAAACTTATTGATTGCCTTGTTTGTATATTGTTTGTGTATTATCACTGTCCTGCTGCAATGTCCTAAGATTGGGGGACTGCAAATGGGCAGCAAGTCCTACACTGTTCCCCTATATGGATGTGAAAAACCTCAGTATTAGTGTTGCAAGCATATCGTGGAGTATAGTTCCCAGTAACACGCTAAAACAATGAAAATGCCACTTCACAAACAGTTGACAAAGTTTCTTCAAAATGTTGCTGATAAATATAAAAGAGGGAATTTTAAGATCCTTTTCCTCCAACATAATGTAAATGCATTTGGCTATATCATAAACTTAAAGAAGTCCTGTGTTTCTTTGTAACAGGCTGCGTTTTGTGTCCTGCCCTCTCGAGATCTGCTGGTGGTGACCTCTCAGAAAGGCATCCAGGTTAGTTTTTGCCACATTTTGACTTGTGGAGGCGTCCAGACTGAAGTGTCACTGAGTTTTTTTGAAATGTGAACCTAAACAAAAGTATTATTGTACGTGTTGCAGCATTTCACTTTAATATAAATCCATTGTTGTAGATGTATGAATCTGATGGCTCTATCATGGTATACTGGCATGCACTGGATACTCCGGAAACACCTACAGGTAAACTTACATATACACTGTGCTACACATATCACTCAAATACTGACCTGTCTAACTAAATATATTATATAGATAGATAGATA